TGACAACTAGTCCATTCATTAGGTACTTTTTTTATTTCCTATATGATTCAAAGTAAGTGTTACTGTTTCAGACTTTGTAATAATGTTGATGTTGATTATTGTTATTCATGGTTTCGGTTTTCTTTAGTTCTCACTGATCTTTGTTCTCCCTCCCTTAGTGTTCTCCTCAGCCTCTGTTTAGCCTGTGTTCCCATGTCTGCTCTATGCTTTTCCTGTGTCCCACATTTCATGTCACCCTTGTCGCTATGTTCCATATGTCTCCTTAGTCCTTGTCCTGTGTGCAGTGTGTCTAGTCTTGCTTCGTTAGGTCTGATTTGTCCCAGCTGTGTTCCTACCTTTTCCCTATCCTCTCGTTGTCCTGCTTGTGTATTTAAGCCCTGTGATTTTTTTCTGTCCATTATTGAGCTGTACTCTCACCGTGCTGTGTTTACTCCCTTTGTAGTCCTGACTTAGTTCTAGTTCTCAGTTCCTGGTTTGCTTTCCCAGTTTGCGTTGTTTTATTTTCTAGCACTAGCATCCCCAGGCTTCTACCTTTCTACCTATAAAACCCGAGAGCAGTCAAATGGTGGAAGTGGAAGCTAAATTGGCTAAATTGACCGCGGAGTCATCATTTTGCGTTTCTACCTTTAAAAGCCGGAGAGCAGTCAGTCAAATGCTGGAGTCATTCATATGTATATTAGGTCGTTACCTAGGAATTCTAGGTAACGACCTAAGGTAACGACAAGGTACCACATGTGTACCTGTAGCAGTGAACACATCGCACAGTGGCCTGATTTTTTTTGCATCTGTGTACTTGGATTTTAGGTCGCAAGCCACCCAAAACTTGCTCCATGCACCACTCAGCAGGCCATTTGTAAATATGTGTACAAATGGTTGGTTTTTTGTACTGTTTTTATCAATAAATGTCAGCAACAAAGGACATACACCCATGTGTGTTGATTTCTCCCTAAGATGGCAAACTGAAACACTCCAAGTTGGTGACTTTTGGAGATTTGTTTCCCTGGATGATTGAGAATGCATCAAGATGAAACACAAAAGGAAGCTCACCGCTTTTAGCAGCTCCCCCACCCCCTCAGTCACTCAGTGAGTGATTGAGGGGGTGGGGGAGTGGAGTGTTTCAGTGTTTCAGTTTGCCATCTTAGGGAGAAATCAACACATGTCCTTTGTATGTCCTTTGTTGCTGACATTTATTGATAAAAACAGTACAAAAAACCAACCATTTGTACACATATTTACAAATGGCCTGCTGAGTGGTGCATGGAGCATGTTCATTGGTTCATGGACCTCCCTGAACTAATGGCATTTACTGAAAATGTTGAAATGTACTCACTCACTTTTTATCATTATTTGTAAATATGTGTACAAATGGTTGGTTGTCAGCAACAAAGGACATACACCCATGTGTGTTGATTTCTCCCTAAGATGGCAAACTGAAACACTCCAAGTTGGTGACTTTTGGAGATTTGTTTCCCTGGATGATTGAGAATGCATCAAGATGAAACACAAAAGGAAGCTCACCGCTTTTGTTGCTGCCATAAATGCCATTAGTTCAGGGAGGTCCATGAACCAATGAACATGCTCCATGCACCACTCAGCAGGCCATTTGTAAATATGTGTACAAATGGTTGGTTTTTTGTACTGACATTTATTGATAAAAACAGTACAAAAAACCAACCATTTGTACACATATTTACAAATGGCCTGCTGAGTGGTGCATGGAGCAAGTTTTGGGTGGCTTGCGACCTAAAATCCAAGTACACAGATGCAAAAAAAATCAGGCCACTGTGCGATGTGTTCACTGCTACAGGTACACATGTGGTACCTTGTCGTTACCTTAGGTCGTTACCTAGAATTCCTAGGTAACGACCTAATATACATATGAATGACTCCAGCATTTGACTGACTGCTCTCCGGCTTTTAAAGGTAGAAACGCAAAATGATGACTCCGCAGGGGTCTAAGGTAGAAAACCAAAATGACTGCTCTCCGGGGGTCTAAGTGCTAGTTTCCAGTTTAGTCTGTAGTTTCCATGTTCAAGGTTGTTTTTAAGCTCTCTCGTTTGGCTCTTGACGAGGGCAGTCGCACTTTCTCCCTCTCCCTTCCCTTATCTTTCCTGCTTGGCTTTCTCATGGCTCTGTCTAGTGTTGTCTACTTTTCTCCCTTTACCCTGGAAGAGTCTGTTCTCTAAAACCTAAAAGAGGAATTATGGATTTGATCAACTGGTCCCTGAATGCAATTGACACCCTCGAGAAGCCTGGGTTCGGGAGAGCCCATTGAAGACATCTACCTTTTCGGAACCATGATAACAGGGTTGTTGCTGATCAGCGCTGGCTGGGCCCTGGCTTATCAAAGAATAAAGAAAGTGGAAACGGCTGTTCAAATCCCCACAAGGCTGCCCACTATGTTGATTGGAACGATAGAGCGAGCCGTGGCTTCTCAGACTGGGCTCATTAGATGCAGCACGGATGATATCTTGGAGAAGTTTGCGACTGCTGTTGTGGTCGCAAATTTTGAAGCCATCCTGATAACCTTCTCCCACCAACGATGTGGAGATCCAACCCTTTTAGATCCAATTAAAATCAAGACACTCAAAAAGATGCTCTGTAAAAGAGTAGAATTCTTGGAACAGAGTTTAATACACTGAATCATATGAACAGCAGGAAAAATACATGCATACATCTAGCAAGAGAGTTACATAGCAGAAAGCAAGCAAAGCAAAACCCCGGGGTGTACAGCCTTAAGCACAGACAGCAGAGCAACACAGAGACGGACAGGAAGCAGCAGCAGGAGGAAAAGAGCTGGGGGTGTCCACTGGTCCCCTAGTATATAGGGACCAGTATCCCCGCCCCCTGGTGCTGGGTAACTTTCCCACGCACCCAAACACAGCTGCAGGGGTCAGGTACAGGCCAGGGTACGGGCAGGGCTCTTGCTGAGGGCCCTGCCCAAAGGGACACCCTTAGGTTAACCCTTTGCTTTGCCTTCTGACAATAGGTCACAACATAGTCAAAGGTCACACATTAATCCTAATTATTAAATCTTACACAGCAATTGGCACAATCTTATAACTACATCAGTGTAGGTTCAAAGTATGTGTGTGTGTGTGTGTGTGTGTGTGTGTGTGTGTGTGTGTGTGTGTGTGTGTGTGTGTGTGTGTGTGATTATATTGTATGATATTTTATCGTGATGTGTTCAGGATCTCTGTTACAATGTTACTGTTTTGGTTGTGCTGCATGAAAGACGTTGAGTGTGTATTGGAGGAGGTTAGTTACCAGAGCTGGAGAGTGAGTTATTCAGGCGAACTCTCAACAGCATTAACTGTCCTGTTACTGTAAAACCTTAATAAACCTCGGTGAAGCAAAATGTCTTGTGCATAAGACTCTACGTTAAAATAAGTTAAAATATATATGTTCAGTGCACATAGATATATAGTGTATATAGTTACATAATTATACATATCAAACAAAAATCCACCACACTTTGAGTACTGTCACTCTGACGACATCTGACAACATCTTGGACAAGCTCACGGCTGTCGTGAACAGCCATGAGCCTACGAACAGCCGATCCCATCAGCTGTTCGTAACACTTCCTACGTTGGAATAGACACCAGCACGAACTATCGTATGTCCAAAATTACCTGTTTATTTTGATGCATATGCTGGTTTTTTTGCAAATTTGCATTGTTATATTTATTTTCATTTTTCTGCAGTATATAAAAATTGGTGTATTTCAAAAATAAAACTATGAAGACACTCAAAATAAATTTCCCATGGTGGGAAACTATTTTGTGCAACGTTTTGTATTTACAGTTTTGAGCGATAAGCCTCTTAAATTTCTCTAACTAGAAATATATGTAAAAAAAATAAACAAAACAAAAATGATTTTCTATTTTTTTGTAGTTTATTGTACTTTTTTGCAATTTATTTAATTACTATGCACTTAATGCATACATATTATTAAAATTTTGGCTATAATGGTTGTATTGATGTATAACAACTTGAAATGGCTCCAAAAATGGCTCCACAGCATGTAAAAATATAATATAAGCTCTGGCGGACTTGGTTCTATGGTAGGTCTTAAAGGGTTAAACAAAAAAACAAACAAAAAGACATTCTTCTGAAAATGGTCAGGTACAAAGATTAGACTGAAAATGAGTGGAAAAAATAGTCAATATCCAGTATCCAAAGTTCTGGGGGTTTTTTTAACTATTGTTTAAGACCACTAATAAAAATACAAGACAGGAAGCAGAATAAAGAAACAAAGAAATAATAGATATTGGATGTCTCAAGACTTTTACACCGTACAGCAAATCCAAGAATTGGTAGTGGTATTTCTGAGATCTCTCTACCATGCTGTCAGACCAAGAAACCTGAAAAAAAATTATACCAAACATACTAAACATTTAGAGGAAGTGTGACTTCTCAGCTAAAGATACTCATATTTCATGTTTCTTCATAGCAGAAATCTGTATTTGTGTAAGCCATTGTGATGCTACACTGCAGCCAGCTCTGAGGCTCATTAGAAACATGTTTGTCACTGAATTCCAATCAATTAAAACTCTTGTGCCATTTATACACAGTACACAGAAAAAAACAGAAGAGGTCAGTATCACATTTGGACCTGCTAACCAAACACAGACAAAACACACAGAGGGAGTGTGACTTATTCCCTAAAGATACCATCTCATATATTTACACAGCACACATGTTTTGATACCAACATCAAGCACAGCTGCTGCTCTCTTTTTTCACCCTGACTGTGACAAAGACAGTGATTATCATACTTACTGAGTCTCCTTACAATCTTCATTTATACAAATAACATTTGCAGTATTGCTGATCACTATTTGCTGATCACAGAGCTGAAGTGATTGAATGACTTTGCATGTTTTGACACGTGGAAAAGGTTTTCATTGTCTTAGTGCATTTTACATAGGTGAGTCTATGAAAAATGCCTTAACTTCACCCTGTTATTGTTATCTTGTATGTATGTTTGCTGTTCCTCACATTTGAGTGACCAAAAAACCACTGAAGGTTGTTTGGCTTTCTGATGCCCAAACATGTGAGTTTGCACCCATGCGCACGTACACTTTGTCCCCTTGCTGCAGCTGCAGGAACACCGCATTGCCTCCATTATCAGCTACATCGCTGTGTGTCACGTGATCATTTGTCATCACCATCACTTCACTGTTTTTATGGAGAAACAGGTATTGTGTATGACTTCCTCCAGCATGATAGAAGAGGGTAAAGTAATAAACACCTGCAACGGGTGCTGTAAAGACACCTGAAGAGTAGAAGAGCAGTGGTCACATTAAAAATAATCTGAAAACTCAAACTGGAGATCATTTGTGCAGTATTGTATTTCCTTTTTATTGTCCTTCAACCAAATAATTATGTCACAACTGTCTGCTTTTTAAACTGCTTTGTAAAATTTAATAAACTGATTATATGCGTTATTTTGCTTTGTGTAAAAAGTGCTGCATAACTCTTACCTGTTACTGGACTGTAGGCATTGCCAATATTGGTAATTACTCCTTTGTAGACTAGGATTGTGTCTGTGTTGAAAGGTCCAGTATGTCCACTGCCTCTTAACGTTGTACTGAATATTATCTTGGTTGCTTCTGTGGAAAACAAATCATAAAAAATATAATACATTTGTGTAAAGTAAATCTATGATTGTCTCCACACAAAAACATGTATTTTGTCTTATGTCTCCTGCAGTTTTGTGAATTATGACTCGTCAAAAAAAGACAGAGTATCTTGGTATTTTAGTAGTTGATCTCTGAGTTTTTGCCTTATGGCATCAAACTCTTTTAGGATGTTAGGACAACTACTTTCTGCCATACCATCACCCTGAGCCAAACACAAGAAAAAAAAAAACCCCAAAAAAACAAGCTCTGTAAATCAGCGGTCCCCAACCCCCGGGCCTCGGACCGGTACCGGTCCGTGAGTCGTTTGGTACCGGGCCGCGAGAGTTGAGGCTTAGGTGTGAAATGTATGGTTTTCAGGGTTTTTATCGGTTTTCAGCGTTATTTTGTCATCGTTTGTATCGTTTACTCCGTTTTCCTGGGTCTTTTCACGTGTGTTATGAATAAATCTTCTTTTTTTCGGTACCAGTACTAGTTTTATTTTGTTGTATTTATCCGCGACGCCTTAAAGGCCGGTCCATGAAAATATTGTCGGGCATAAACCGGTCCGTGGCGCAAAAAAGGTTGGGGACCGCTGCTGTAAATAACACAAGGCTGTTGGTCATTGTTATTAAAAGTTGCAATAGTTAAAATACCATATCAATAATATCCTTCAACACACTTGTAATTTCATTAAACCTAACTAGTCCATTCACTGATACCTTCTAATCAGTCCTACCTGTGAATTCTTGGTAGGGACTAATATCTCATTCTTCTATATAGTAACTGTGTGTCTGTTTTAACCTGCTAGGACCCGGCGTCCACATATGTGGACATCCCATTTTTGGGTTATTTAGACCAAAATACTCAATTTTGCTCTACAAGGGCCTGATATCCTCTTACGAGGACATTATACTGCTATCGTTCTATCAAAATTTTAAACGAATATCCTCATATGTGGCGCTTATTTTTCTTAAAAACAAAAATAAGGTAAAAAAAAAATCTGGTAATTCTTTGTTTTTACATTCATGATCACATATGCCCAAATATCAAAGAGAAATTAAAAATGTATGCCATGGAAGAGTTCGGGTCTTAGGAGGTTAAAGAACCTAAAGTGTCCACCTGTTCAATCTCCCAGTCCTAATATTACATTGATTATATCTGGTCTTTCTCAAAAAACAACTTTTCTTGAAACCATTTTCAAAAGATTTCAGTTGCACAGTTCAGTTTCTCATGACAACCAGCTCTCTTATGACGTGACACATCAGAAAGGCATGACTGGTCAAGTCACAGAGCAGTCAAATTCATCTCACTTGATCTTAAAAATCAGATCAGATTTTTAAAATTAAATTTTATTGTTTATTGGCAATGTACTGACAGCTGCAAAGACAGCATCCTGTGTATATACATAAAATCCAACTTAATTTCATTGGTTCATTTTGAAGTACCTTTGTATAGTACTGGGTAAGTACACACAATAATAAATCTGAAACAGACAAAGAAAAAAAAAATCTTTTTCTGATCATCAGAACTTAACTGTGCTGGAGAAAGTTTGAGATTCTTTAAAGTGGTTTAAACTTGCAGCTTTGGACCTCAGGAGAGTATTTTGAGAAAGCAATGCAAATGTAGAGCGGGACACAGAATAACTGCTGTAAATAAACAAAACTAAAAGCCTTGAGACAAAGCTCATTTCTTTGCATTTTACTTCTAAAGAGCTAGACTTTCAAATCGTATTACTTGGGCAGTAGTTTTCCAGGTTTTGTAAAGATCTTTCAGGGATTTTCTTTGGGCATTGACTGCTTTTTCATTCATTGTCAGTCCAGTCCTTTCCCCTGTCCACTGCTGGAGATGCAGTTCAAAATTGTACCTTTAATACTCTCTGACAGTAAACACATTTACATGCAGCTTCTGTCTTTTCACATTATTCCTTGATGATTACATAAGGTTCAGTCAAACTGAGGATTCAACCAAAAACAATTATGAAAAAGTGTTTAGATTAATCAATAAAATTGCCCTTCATGTACCTTTGTGTTGCAGTTCCAAAATCTGGTTTTCACTCTCCTTCAGCCTGTTTGCAGTGTGGTTCAGCTTTGTCTCACTGTCTTGTTTCAGCTGGGTTACAGTCTCCTTTAGGCTCATTTCAGTGTCCTTCAGCCTGGCTTCACTTTCCTTCAGCTTAGCTTCCATACAGTTCACTTTTTCCATTATGACCCCAAAGTCTACCAGGAATTTGCACATGTCAGGATTGCATGACTTTGTTTCAGTAGCATTGTTATGACTGTGAGCTAAACTCCAGCCACAGAACAGCACTATATAGCATAAAATGTCAAAATCCATCTTTCAAGTTGATTCAGTGTCACACACCCTGCAGAGATCTGATTAATGTGATTGATCTACCTGCTTTTATGGTATAATGCTTTTATATTAATAGTTAACATTCACATGTTAACTATTAACAGACTAATAAACTTTTTTTTAAAAAATATTTTATCCAGCTGTTATCAGTCTGTACTAGTTAAACTCAACAGAAGAGTATTGAGGAAATAGTAATACATTTACTAGGAAACAGTCTCAGTGTAGTTGCCATTGTCTAAGCTCAAACTATAGTATATATTTAATACATCTATATCTATATCTATATCTATATATGTGTTTGAACCTGAGACTACACACCTTTAAAGTGGGAGTCACAAGTTGGATTCCCACCCAGTATCCAGTAAGGGTCCTGGTAGACCCCCTGAAATGGCACGGCTACGTCTGCAGCCTGTCCGCAGCTTGGACACAAGCATTTTACTACATGTTGTTCTTTGGGCATTATTTGTGTATTATAAATAAGTATAAATGCATATAGTTATCACAGTACTACTAACATGGTACTCCTGTCTGAAGACGAGCAGAAACAACCAGCTCTGTCTGATTTCACCAGGTGCTCTTCACACTGCCTTAGTGCTTAACCATTTGGATTAGAGGCGAAATTTGAATGGTTGCTGAAAGATGATATTATTTTAATTTTGTTATATTTTCAGCCAAAATTACAAAACAAATGTCCATCAGGTGTATTAAATGTTGACCAATAAATTGTTATTGTTTTTTTCAGAGACATACAAAAATCATATTTCTGAAATGCTTCAGTTTCACATATTTTGCATACATGCATGCTGTTTCATACTCAGTGTATTAATATTTCTAATTGTCAATGCACTGTATTGTAAGCAAACACTGGCAGCATGACAGACGAAGATAAAATAATAAAGAATTTTAGTACATACTGTAAAGATACTTAGAAAATAAACCGCTGTTCATCATGTTTCATTGAAAGTAATGACTGAAACATCAAATAGTCTATCAGCAGTATCATTCAGTAAATGGTTTCAGTTTATTACCTCATGTGCTTCTTTATTGACTTTCCTGGCTGGAAATGTGTTTATAGTTATTCATATTTCAGCTTCTCTTTTGTTGTTTTATAATCAGCTGTTAATCAATAGCATTTCTTAAACCTTTATTATCTGTTTGTGTCACAGTATGCGTAATAAACAGTAAGTAATTACAGGGAAAGAACAGTGTGGAAATAACACATGTATTTGTAGTTTAGACATGTTTATTTGGGTTAGGTTAACATTAAGGAACATTTTAAAATGCATTATATAAGTGATAAAAAGGATTAAGACAAGCGAAAAAATGTGTTACTATTGTTACAAAATGACACTTGTCACTTGTGAGGCGTAAGATTTCACACACATACTTCTGTTTACTTGCAGCTTTTTGTAGATTTACAGTCTGCATACTTTTTTTATTAATGCAATTTACACTACTCTTTTGCACAGTCTCAGTCTTACTTTTTGCTGTTCTTTAACTCAACCTCATATTTATTTATTTATTTATTTATTTTCTGTCTATCTAGTTATAAAATATAAAATAACATACAGATGACTAAAGCAGAAGAAAAGTTAAATTAAAGGTAAAAGAAAGAAAATAAAAGGCAGATACAATGAGCTCTCTCCTCACTGAAGAAGGGGAGAGAAGCATGGTTCCATTTGCTTTCCCTGAGCTTATGAGCCAGTAATAATTAGCTTCATTCAGTTTTTCATATTGGAGTAATTAAATACCCACTGAAAGTCGTATGATAGTTTGATCCCCAAACTTGTGAGTTTGGACCCAAGCACACATACACTTGATCTCCTGTCTGCATCTGCAGGAATACTGCATTTCCTCCATTTTTAGATCCATGTTGTTCTGGCTGGTCATGATGGGTCATGGCAATCAAATGATTGTTCATGTACAGTTTCAGTGCTCCGTTTCTTCCAGAATGATAAAAAATTGAAAAGTAGTAAATTCCTGTGACAGGTGCTATAAAGACTCCTGAGGAAAAAGAAGAATTCTGGTCACAGTTTGTAAATTAAAAGTAGAAAGTCAACATCGCAAATCAACAATATACTTCAATACTACAGGGTGGGCCTTTTATATGGATACACCGTAATAACATGGGAATGGTTGGTGATATTAAAGTCCTGTTTGCGGCACATTAGTATATGTGAGGGGGCGAACTCCTCAAGATGGGTGGTGACCATGGTGGCCGTTTAGAAGTCGGCCATCTTGGATACAACTTTTGTTTTTTCAATAGGAAGAGGGCCATGTGACACATCAAACTTATTAAGTCAGCATACAACAGTACTTGTCATTTAACTTTTCAGTTAAATTGAAAAGTATATGCATATGTGAAATAATACTATCATTTTTTTCTAATTTATTTAGTTAACACAAACAATATTGTGAGTCGTACCTGTGTATTTATTATACGCATCTCCAATGTTTGCAATCACTCTTTTGAAGGCTAATGTAGTTTCTGTGTTGAAGGGTCCAATTGATATATCTCCTCTTCCTCCTGCTGCACTGAATATTACCTTTGTTCTTTCTGGAGAATTAAGAACAACATCATTAGTTCTAGTTTCAGTACCCCAAACCAAAATATGAGAATATGTTTTACCTCTTGCAGACATAATTATGACTTCTTTGACAAGAGACAGCATTCTGTCTTTTGACATTTATCTTGGATGAGTAGTGTTTCATTGAAATTGATTATTTGTCCACAATTTTACCTTTGTATTGCAGCATCAAAATCTGTTTTTCGCTGTCTTTCAGCCTGGTTACAGTGTCGTTCAGCCTGGTCTCACTCTCCTTCAGCCTAGTTTCACTGTACTCCAGCCTGGTTGTAGTTTCCTTAAGCCTGGTCTCACTGTCCTTAAGTCTGGCTTCCATAGATCTAACTTTTTCTGTCATGACTCCAAATTCTTTCAGGAAATTATAAATGTCAGGATGGCACAGCTGTGTTCCAGTAGCATTTTCACTATCACTCTGTGACAGACTCAAGCCACAGAACAGAAAAATAAACCATAAAGCGCTCATCGTCTAAGCTGAATCAGCATCACACAATCTTCAAACCTCTGATTAACATGGTTGATGCTCCTTTTATGTAGTTTAGTCTGTTAATCACTAACATATCAATAGACTTGTTGTTAAATCTTTTGTGTATCTGTGTAACTGTACAAGTTGAACCCAGATCAATAAGGAACTAGTACACTTACTGGCAAAACACTTTTAGTGTAGCTAAAAACTAATTGCTTTAAATGAGAGATCATTCCAAGAGATAAAGTCTAAACAGATTTTTTTAATACCTATGAGAGAGTGTAAACATTGCCACCATTTATGTGTAGTTGTATTTCTGCTGAACGGTCAAAGTTTTCCATCAACACCAGTTGCTGCATTGAATACAACCTTATTTTCTTCCTGTTATTGTGCCATTTTATTATTTTATTATCAGATTATTGCAGTTTTGAGCCTAGCCTCACTCCCAACTCATTACCTCAGGACTCTTTGATGTCACATTTTAAGGGCTTGAGTGCTCAATGTGCACATGTAAGTTTGGGAGCTGGGGTATATAAACACAAACTGTGATCTTTACCTAAGTGTTACCAATTCAGTTTGGAGGTTATTCTTAAATGAAGTGATTAAAACTGGTATTTTCAGGTGTGTTGAAAATATCAGTACTAATTAACTCACAAATAAACAGCTTGTAAACACTGTGAGTATTTATCATCACTGTTTTGTTGTTGTATTTGTGCAAAGGTCAACGTTCTACACCGGTTCCTCCATCTAATCATACCTTGTTGTCTTCCCATATAAGCATAAACCTGTCACTGCGCAATTTTATGATTTTGTTTTCACGTTTGCTTCTTTTAGCCTGACCTCACTCCAAACTCATTAACTCAGGACTGTCACGTTTTGAGGTTCTGGATAGCCTTTACTATTTGTATTTGTGTTTGTGAACTAACTTATTTTAAACTATGAACTTTTCCTCAATCTAACAAATTAAATTTGGAGGCTAGTTGGCTCTATCCTACAGTATTATTTTCATTGTTTACTGTCATGGTGCCAAACTCTAAGATAAATAAACCGTCACTAAAAGTATGGTTGAAGTAAGTCAATGTGGCCTTGAATGTTATCAGTTTGTCAAAAATATACAAAAAAAATTTAGTATAAATAATTATACATGCAGGCAAGCAAAGTTTCAGCGTGGTATGTCTCAGTGGAGCTCTATTGCCAGATACCTCGTTGACCTTTGTGAGTGTAATGACACCAAAAAGACATTTTTTGTAATTTAAGAATTTCAAATCTTAAAATTGAATTGAAATTAATAGAGACAATATAAATCACATATAAATCTTTTCACAAGAAAAGATGAATGAGCAGAGTAGTGTGACATCAGTTGCCACAACCTTAGAAATGTTCACACACTGAAAGATCATTAAGTTCAGAATGTCTTTTGCTATAGTGGACATCACCACATGCACCTGCAGCACTGACTCACCTTCCCAAGAGAAGGATCCCACAACATTTATAGGCTGCTATTATGTAGCTGCTCTAAAAAAGTGGAGTAGTGGAAAACTGGTGTGGAAATGCATTCCACCAGGCCAGCAAAAAGAAAAGAAAGAACCCAGTAGGAGTTGAGATGCTTGGCAGATTAAATGTGCCCCAACTCAAAAAAGCCAAAAAGTTCATAGTTACCCACATCATAATTACGCTGTCTGGGATCAGGCATCATGAGAACAAATGTCATGCTTGCAATTTGATACCAATTTGCTGTGATAACACTACATCTACTCTAGAATCAGAACCATTCACCTCAACAGTTAATTGATGTGTTGGGTGTGATTAGCTGAACATGGGGGCAGAAGTGAAGCTTGCCCAGTGTAAGAATCCCAGATGAAGGGTGGATTGATTGATGCACATCTGGTGAGTGGTTCAGCTATTCTGAAAGTCTTTGCAGGACCTGTCTCACATGTTGAACATGTTCCTCCAAACTGTTAAAGAAAAGTCTAAATGTCATCATGTCAGTATTGACGGCTGTCTTCCGCTCATGTGTTTCTTATTAGTACCAGGTGTTGCAGAGATTTGGCACTGGGTACTTTTTCTTCACAGTACCGTAATGTTAAGTCTTTGGTAGTTCATACAGTAAAGACATTGAAGTCCCTCGTGAGCAAATGCTTCGAGAAGCTGGTCAGGGACTTCATCCGCTCTGCACCACCCAACTCACTGGACCCTCTACAGTTCGCATACCACCACAACAGGTCCACTGATGATGCCATAGCCCTGACACTACATACTGCCCTATCACACCTGGAGAAGAGAGACACGTATGTGAGAATGCTGTTTGTAGATTACAGCTCAGCATTCAATACCATCGTTCCCTCAAAGCTGGACAGGAAACTGCAGGATCTAGGACTGAGCAGCTCCCTCTGCAGCTGGATCCTTAGCTTCCTGTCTGACAGACGCCAAGTGGTCAGACTGGGCAGCATCACCTCATCCCCCATCACACTGAACACTGGTGCTCCACAGGGTTGTAAACTGAGCCCTCTCCTATACTCACTCTACACCTACGACTGCACGGCCACTAACAACTCCAACATCATTGTGAAGTTTGCGGACGACACTACAGTGGTGGGTCTTATCACCAATGGTGATGAGACGGCTTACAGGGAGGAGGTCAGCACCCTGACCCACTGGTGTCAAGACAACCATCTCACCCTCAACGTTGCAAAGACAAAGGAGTTGATAGTGGACTTCCGGAGGTGCAGAGAAGTACACACCCCCATCACCATCAACGGCGCTGCTGTGGAGAGAGTGAGCAGCTTCCGGTTCCTTGGCGTACATCTGGCTGAGGATCTTACGTGGTCAGTACACACAAACAAAACAGTGAAGAAGGCGCAGCAGCGCCTCTTCTTTCTCAGGAGACTGAAAAGATTCGGCATGAGCCCCCGCATCCTCAGGACCTTCTATCACTGTGCCATTGAGAGCATCCTCACTGGATGCATCACCACCTGGTATGGCAACAGCACCGCCTACAACTGCAAAGCTCTCCAGCGAGTAGTGCGGTGCTCTGAACGGATAATTGGAGGTGAGCTTCCCTCCCTCCAAGACATCTACAGGAAGCGGTGCCTGAGGAAAGCAGGGAGGATCATCAAGGACTCCAGTCACCCCAGCCATAAACTGTTCAGACTGCTTCCATCAGGAAGGAGGTTCTGCAGCATCCGGTCCCGTACAGGCTGACTGAGAGACAGCTTCTTCCACCAGGCCATCAGACTGCTGAACACGTCATAGACACCTCAGCTTCACTACTGGAACTTTAACATTATGCACTCCATACTGTACAGTAATGCCACTGTTTTGCACGTCTCAACTCTGTATATTTTTATATATTTTATTTATTGTTTACTCTATTTAATTTGTAAAATATGTGTACACACACACACACACACGTAGAAAAATATTTAGTATACACATCCAGAAATGCACATACTATTATATATTGTACATATATTTATTAGTTTCAGATGTAGCCATTCTTGTATTTTGCTTGTTTACATTATTGTATTTTGCACAACTCTGTTGCTTGTGAAGCTCGCACACAAGAATTTCACTCGCATGTGCTGTACCAATGTACCTGCACATGTGATGTGACAATAAAAGTGATTTGATTTTGATTTGATTTGATTTGATTTGGAGTTTCAACTGCTAGTGGACAAATGGCTCCCTCTACTGGAGGAAGAGCAGATGGCATAACATAGACCAACCAGAAACCTTTTTTGAAATTGTAGGTTTAGGAACCTTTACCCATTAATGCTAAGCAACCCAAAAGGTGCTACTGACTTAAAAGGCAAAAAAAAGAAAATGAAGTGACACGTGATGGCTAGAGGACTAGCTGAATGAACTAGACTGTGCTAAGTGACCTGGGCTAGGATTTCTTTTCATTTCAGAATAATATTTCTAATAGCCCAGGAAGTTATTCTGTAGGGGATGTTAATCTGTTTCAGCAAGCTGGACAGAAAGAAGGTCTAGGTTTCTGCAAAAGCAACAAGGGCAAAAGGGCAATAAAGTAGAATTAGTGTGAAGTTAAGTCACTTACTGAGGTAAATTTTAGCTCAGAGGAAATTGACTCATTTTTTAGAAGAGTTGTGGCTGAAAGCAGGTTCATCAGTGTCATGTTAAAAATTATACAGTTTTATTTTCAGAGACTAACACTTTGCCCTTTTGTGGTTGTTTAACTTTAGCATGATGTGGGACCATGAGAGTAAAAGCCTCGCCTCTGTCAGTGCGCCCCAGGGTGGCTGTGGCTACAATGTAGCTTGCCATCACCAGTGTGTGAATGTGTGTGTGAATGGGTGGATGACTGGATATGTAAAGCGCTTTGGGGTCCTTAGGGACTAGTAAAGCGCTATATAAATACAGGCCATTTACCATTTAAAAGCAAACTGTTTTAAAATTATTCCAGTTTATGATTTTCATTATACCATGAATGCTGCTGCACATTAAATAAATAATTCAAAATATTAGTATAATGCTATCACCATTGAGTTGTTTTTGTAATATACAAAGTTTGATGCTGTTTGGAAATCTTACAATTGACTGTGATTTATGCATCTCTTTCAGTCAGTAGTGTTTTAGCGATTTGTCTGAACTGTACAGCTCAGGCAGCAGCTGTACTTTAATACTTATACTGTTTTTAATACCTATTCACTTATTCACAGATCAAAAACATATCAGTTGTAGCTGAATTTACTGTTCCTATAATGCAGTAGCCATTATTCAAAGCAACACAAGGGCTCTAACATAAGGAAAGGTGTGTAAACATGCCCGGACAGGTTTTTGACGGGGCTCCCACACAAATGCAAAGCAGAAGATGAAGCATTGACAAATATGTTTCCAAACCAACTTCCTTCCAAGCCAAAGACTAGAAAATATGATGACCACTTGCCTTTCGCTTCATCTGCACAGCGGTGGTGCCAAGGTAGGTCTCCCCGACAGAATTTGTTTCCCCTGTGTCAGGAGCACACGCTGGGCTGTCCAAATCACGGACAAACA